GCAACAGTCACGTGTCGGTTTTGGGTTGTATCCGATGAATTCCTGTTGTTCTTTAGGTAAGAATATATTAATTTTCAAATAATTATCTGTAATATTAAAAGGCTCTTTTCAGTAGTGACAGTGGACGAGTTGCCCTTTTTTAAGTTGTAATAATTGGGTCGTATATACAGTAATTTACAACGAATTCAAATTTAGGCGCCAGCAACAACCATACGTCCTTGTTCCCGAATATGCTTAGCCAATCAGCCCGGCGCAAATTTGCTCGTGGGTCATTCGTACTGCTGAAAGCTTTATGGTCTAACGTTCCGCACAAAAGGCAACCACGGTATCAGCGCGGTTCCCAGCACAATCGAATGAACTCCGCGCTTTGTCACAACAATTTGGCGGCATAACAGTTGTTTCGCTGGATATAAAATTTAAGGGTCAAGGACATTAATTCGGAATTTAAATTCGTTTATAACTCTGTGATTCCTTGTGGATAATGAACAAGCGTTTCTGTCGCTAATTTTTCAACTTTTTGCTTAAGAATTGAAGACAGCCTGCTATGTCATATTTCAGAAGGCTCAAGCGCATAACATAGTGATTAAGTCTCTCAATTTTGCTAGCCTAAGAGAACAGATGACTCATACCTTAGATTTTCAGCAGCTGAGAAACATCAAAATCTTAAGATCATTTGTGTACTCTGATGGGTCGTAGCGCCTTTTCACTATATTTTTATCTTGTCTTTCCTGTTCTGGTGCATTCCCTTTACCAGTCGGATACTCAGTCGCAATGCCGTCGTGCAATACCGTGGATTTTAAGTAACCTATAGATCTGTATTATCATATTAGGGAAAACTAGTTTTCTTCTCTTAACAAGGATATCAGATAAACGTAGGCCGTGCAGACGAACGGCCTGTTGAAGATACAAACAAATCTAACCTGGACCTTCCCTTTTGAGCTGTTTTAGGATTTATGTCTGCATAAAACAGATATTGCAATGAAGTGTTTCGGGTGTGATAGAAATGTCATTGCTGATGGTCATGCTTATTCAACACACCACCGTCTACCACAATTACACCCTAAACTTAAGGTTTAGCCAAAATGTTCTTTTGTCGATTCGCAAAGTAGGTATAAAGTTTAAAAGGTGGCTTTCGACGGCATGAAATTTCAGCTTGACAGTGGGCAAAAGTCCCTAAACATGCGTCAACTTTAAACGCCCAAGAATGGCTAAAAGGCTCGAAAAGACAAATCGGTGGAGCTTACTTGGACGAATCCTTTATTCCTCAAAGTGACTGTTTGTTTTCATATAAAAAAATCAGGCATGTCAACAATGACCTTTCTAACCACTTTGATGATTTTTTGAATTTGCTATATCTAGGCTCTATCAAGCATCTCCAAGCTTGTTTCATAGAAATATTTCGCGGATTTTTCTGAAGCCTCATGGAAGCTGGCATCAACGTAGACCATCGGTTTTAGGCAGAAAGTTTTTAATATCGGCGGCGACGTTCATTTTAATATACCTGAAAGCATTACATACTAGCTGTCCTTAGCTCGAATAGATCGATCCAGGGTGCGCTCGTATCTAGCCATATATGTACAGTAATTTAAATACAAGATCGCAAAAGTTCTACAAAAGTAGACCTTTAGGTAATTTCAGTGATCATCAGTAATCGTTTAAGATATCCTCACAATACTTGGGGCTGAACAATTGCGATTCGACGATAGCAATGCAACCGTTCTAACAATCATTGCTAGAATAAGGAGAGGCCATGAAACGTCTGGGAAAGTATGTACCATTCGAGCTAGCAGCGTACCTCTCGAAGAAAGCATGACGTCTAACAGATAGGTGTGAAACGAATTTCGCTATATTGATGCGCTTTACATAAGCCATTTTTCCAACGATTTTTTATCGGTTACTATATACATATATTATGTGTAGATCAAATATAATCCGACTAGAGCTAACGGGGTCAAGCAAAGACACGAAATGCACCTTCATGAAACCTTTGAAAGACAGACAAGCTGTGTTGGCGTACATATGCTCTCGAATCGGCTGATGCTTCTGAGGACACTGACCACCAAAGCAATGCTGAAGTATTCATCGTAGAACTTTTCATAGCAGACATGTATTCCTTCAATTGTGCTGTTTTCGACTGTCGAATGCTATCTTGTTCGTGCTCTTTTGTACCCGACCGGTTAGATATTTCATTCAACGTATTTCCCGAACAAGTTTGCCAACACGAAAAGGATCCTGTTTAACACTGTTTGAGCGCCAACAATATAGTCCATTTGTACGCTTTCCTCCTATGAAAAAACTACTAGCTTCAGGTCTGCGCAGTGGAAACAATGGTAAAAAAGGTGCAGGCAAAAGCCGCGGCGGTACAAGAAGCATACAGCGTAGTTCAGTTAAATGGTCCTTTGGGCAAAGGAGGAACTTGTTGCATCGCACGTACGGCTACAGGTATATGGGACATTTGGAAAAAATCTGTCATGGGAATCACATTGGAACTGAATTAGCACATTGTAAACGCCGTTGAGTTCGCGTTGCCAAGGTCCCGCAATGGAATTGATTTCGTATATGGATTCATCAATTGGTGGGAACGTTCAAAGATGCGCAGAACCGGTTTATCGTTTCTGTGGCAGAAGAGCAGCTTTGCGATAGCAAATAGAAAAATCGGCGAGGTCCTTTGAACAAGGAAGGTTAACGTTGGTGAATCCCACAAACATGATATGGAAAGGTTTCAAACGCGTCCAAAGCAGATATATCTTCACCTCGTGCTTTCATCGTCTACAGACATCGCCGACGGAAAGCAGTTTAATAGCCGATACATACTCTGCGTTACTGAAGGCTAAAATCTGACATGGCTACAACACTGTCAACTAACCATCTAGCGCCAAAATAAAGCCGTTGTTGGAACTATCGTTCAGGTGTTCGTTGCATGTTAGACAATAAAAGCATACCAGATTCGAAAACGTTAAGGGAATCTTACCGAAAAGCGAAACATAATAATCGTAATTTTATTTCAACAATTCCTTCCTTACTCGGCTGATATGCACAGAATTTTTTTCTAATGGGAGAATATCTTCGCTTATGTGCGTTTACGCTTAGCGTCTATATTCATACCCAGTTACAGATTGTGGGGAGAGATTTGGATTTTTTGGCGTGGAATCGTGAACGAACCGTAGCAAATGTTGAGTGTCACTCTATGTGGGAAATGCGTATTTATGCGAAAAGTACGAATAGATGCTTTGAAAGATATATATATCAAAGAAACTTGAGCATTTTCTTATCCCCAGGGGGTAAATATCAGAGGTATACATGTTTTGTTGTAGACGTATTGTTGCCTTCTATTCGAATAGGGCATGCGTGAATTTTGCCCGTCAACAGAGTCCGACGATCGTATATCCCGCGCAGTACTGTTTGCATATGATCTACATGGTAAATAGCTCGTGCAACTGATACAGCCTACCTTTTTCTAAATGTTTTTACTTTAGAAACATCGGGAAAAGAAGATGACCTGCTATTCAGTACTAATGAAATGCCTCAATAATACTTATGTCTAACTATAAGCTTGGCGGAAGCAAACGTTTATCTTTAATATATAAATTATTATCCATCATTTTCTATATCGTTCATTATCTCTAACGTGATATATTTCTAAGCTTCGACGAATAGAATCCAAGAGACCAAGGTAAACAATTGAGAAATTTTAAATTCCTCAAAGATTGGTCGGAGCGGTGGATTTGCTGTATACATGATTTCACTGTGGGAACTCCTACAAGGCCCACGATGCCCTCGCAGCCAGTAACCCTACATAATGACAGCAAGTGAATTTTCAAAACAAACAATACCCCTGACGGGTACGCCTGTACGACAACCGCGTGTCATTTGTGTGATCACTGATAATGTCGACCGAATACCTAGCGAACAAAGTAGCTTGCCTATTTAGGAACTATTTGCGCATGGAAACCCACAGGCTAGCCAACAAGGACACCGTTGTAGAACATGTGCTAATTGGAAGGACCAACACGCAGTTTAATAAGCGCTTTTATATTAATCAAGTTTTCGATTAAAGCGAAAGTCGTGCGTTTCGTGAAATGCAACGCTTGCAGCAGGACCTATAATAGAAAAATCAACATAACTACAAACGAATATCAATCAAACGCTTAAATTGTGGCATAAGCTAGATACAAATAGGAGTATTCTTTATAATGGTAGAACAGCTAAAGCTATTAGGAAAGAACGAGATTTCAATAATGGGCCCTTGCACAGCGGTACTGTACAGAGTAGGAATTTTAGGGGCAACCAGTTGTACTTCCTAACATGATATTGTGCGGCTTCTTATATGCGCGTACGGAGAGAAGATGACCGTGACTGACCTCTCAGAAATTTCTTCTGAGAAAGAATCATCATGTTGCAGAGCTGTGAAAATATGGATGATCACCAACTTTTATAGATCAATCCATAATAAAGTTCTGTTTCTCAGAAGCAAGCTTAAAACTGGCAAAGGCCTATTTTGCCTACAGTTACGCTGATCTGGTCTATTGGTCAGCTACGTTAAACTGTGGTGACTCTCGTTCAGTGTTGAATCTTTTTAACAATGATCTTTGAAGAATTTTCTCTGTTGCTTCTTTATGGAACCGATTTTTACTCTTTCAGAATAAATCCGCACGACTGCTTCTTTTGGAAAAGTATACAAATTTGCATTTTAGTGTTATATACATTATCGAACTAGTGTATTCTCAATAGAAAATCCATTTATCAATGTTGATCGGCTGATAAGTTTTTGAAGCTGTACGCATATGTATAGTATTCGTTTAAGCGGTTTCAGTTGACTGTTAAATTTTTTTACGTCCTTGAAAATCGCTATTGAGTGAATCGGCCGAAATTTTACTACGTATTTCTGCCGTATATCTGAACGTTTAGTTCCATTCTAACGGTCGCCATTGCTCATCTCAGGAGTACCGATGCTAAAGAAAAGTTTGCATAACATACTATTGTCTATTGTATCATTTCAGGACTCAATAAAGGATCAGACAACGAGGATAATCTGGAAGAGGAACCAGAGGTGAAGAATTTAAAATACTGGGCAAGTAAAAGTAAGTGGTCGACCTTCTTTCGTATCCCGTACTCTTCACGCACACATTTATAATATATAAGAGACCATACGGCTTTACTGCAGCATGTTTTCACGTAGCCGTGTACACACATGTATATCTGATATAACGGATGCGTCCTTCCGACTCGAAACTCGCCCGTCTTTAATCGTTTAAAATCATCCAGCGACCGTGCTGAATCGCTCACAGAAGGATTCGTTTTGTGTTAGATGATTAAGAAGAACGTGACTGAAGAAAACGGAGAGCACATATTACTGATTATGCTTTTACTGATATTTTAGATTTAAAGAAAACTTTCATTAGAGAGAGACACCGAGATCCTATGTTGTTAAAGCATGTTCGTTGGCTAGCTTTAATAACTATGGCAACAAACATGGCGTTTACCCTCACATAATGGTACCATTACACAGTGATTGTTTGTTACAGCGTTCGACGACGGTTCTAGGAAGTTTTCGAAGAACTTACGCCAAATATTCGACAGTAGTGAACGAAGCTGTTACGCTCAATTAACCTGCATCAAATTTCGGGTAAATGAGAAATATTGAGGGTTGGAGTTTACGCTCTGCATTACAGCGAACTTCTAGACAAAAAAAAAAATGCCAGGCAGTTTAGCAAAATTTTAATTAACAATTTGTTACCTCATTTCGCTGGTCAGTAGTCCATTCCGGAGACCATTTAGACAAGTGGCAGAGGGATATAAGCACTTTGTGCTCTATCTTATCTGGGCTCTTTTAGATATTTTTCAGAAATATCTTCAAGTCGAACGCACTAATAAGATTAATTCGATGAGATAAAATGAAACGGGATCCTTCATTATTACGAAAAATATGGGCTGGGCGATGAAGAGTTAGGTAGCTGATATTTTCCCACACCCGTATTTCGCAATTGTGGTCTTTTATGAGTTAGTAAATCACGACCGCTACAAGTGAAGTTAGTTAGCTGAGGCTACTTGCGGCATTTGTGCTCTATGTCTGTGTAAAAAGTTGATTTATTGCTACTAAGGCTTGTAGACTGACCCAGCCTTATATCAGCCTTAAATTAGTCCTTAATAGAAGGAGAAATATCTGATACAGGCCTCTATATAGGTTAAAGGAACAGTCATTGCACGATCAATCCGGCAAGAGGTTATATATATTGCAGTGACGAAGTGCTTAGATGCAAGGCTACCCTAGCTCTATTAGGAACGTAAGTAATCAAGATAGTGACTGATGTCAACATACTGAAGATGACATATTTCATTCAATTTGGCTAACGTTGACTACTCCTTGATAACCGTGTAGTGTTTATTCATGGGATCGTTTTCGTTATGACATCTTCAAAGAAATTTTAGCTTCACTTTATTTGTTGTTATTGGTAGTTTTGAACTCGAGTGTGTAAGCCGACGGCGCGCGCGGTATAACACGTTTTTGACAATGGTGGATCTTCACTAGCTACGTGTCATGTTGATCACAGCATAAAGAAATAGCTTTTTTTTTTTCTCTTTCTTTTAACTAGAAAATACTTCACTTGGAGCATTAGTTTTATAAAGTTGCCACTTAGTCTAGCATAGCTAACTGGATTCTAGTTAGTTGTACGGCAGCCGAATGGCATCAGTATCATTATGATAGTGTATTTAAACCGGAGCCGGAATTGTTGTTTGTAAACTGTGTTGCGACTTGTTTCGGCGAACTCATGTTGCCGTAGCACGCGAGCCACGTTATGTCAGGGGCCCTAATTCGACCCTTCTTAAGACCTTGTTATTTAAAGTGCGCCTGACCTATGCCGTCGTAAATACTGAAATGCGAAATAGCCAGATTTTCTAAATTTCTTGACGTCTACCGAAGTACCTTTGTCTTGTATGCTGCAAAAGCAGAAAGACTTTAGCTCCTCCAAAAATTCACAGTAAAATTCGTCATCTCGTACAAAAACTAAGGAATCTCTTCCATACGAGTAAACCATGACCATACCCGAACGCCATAGTTCTCAATATCGTTAATTAGTATAACTAAAAAGTTAATTACCATCTCTTATTGCTGACATTTTAAGCGCTATCAGTTCTGTATCCGTCGTGTCAGTGACGAGTATAGGTTAAACATCACAAAACGAGTAATTTAAATCTTGATTTATTTATCTTCATTCCTTTACAATGCTCCTCTAATTTATTGTTTAACTTTTATTTGGTAAGGTAGGCCATTGAACGCAATGACACTCACATTCAGATGTTTGCAAAGCCTCCCGAGTGGCTTCGTTTGTAGCTATCATCAACAGAAGAATAATAACAACTGTTCCTATGGGCACTGTGTCCCGCGTTCTTTCAGAATAAGCCCTGCACACCCTCTACCATTGTTATCACCTCTGCATTTCTTCCGCATTATCTCTAACTACTATTACATTATTAATATGACGAGGAGCCTCCCTACCTGAAGGCTTATGAGAATGAGCAGACAGCTTGCGCTGCTTGCTACCCACGCAGGCCAGCCGTGTACAGGCTCTTTTGGTCGGCCCACCGCCACCCCGTCTGTATGTCCTTCTCGTCCCGTTGTTAAAGAAGCTACATATACCTGGCCATCATTGCAAACACGACCGCCTGTCTCTTTATGTATTTAAATTAGATGAAAAACTAAAATTTATGGAAGCGTCACGTTATAACGGTTGTCACGCCAAATGATGACATCAATTCAGTTGTATACAAAATTAACTTCACCTCCCTTTACATAGCATATATATATATATATGCGGTTAGGTCAGTCATCAGTTCGCTGTCCTATCGGTTTCTTGAACTACACGAGTCAGCCACGGAAGGCATCAACGCATTCTTCGGCGACAAATCACACCACTAAAAGGCCATGGTAAGCAGACGCACAGCAAGGGATGATCTGTTGATGTTTATTTTTCTCGACAAGCCACCGAATCGCACGAAATATCTGCCACTTTCGCCCAAATAGTGCTTTTTTCAATGCCCTAAGTGTCAGCGTTCTACGCTCTAGATTCAATGTTCTTATCACTATATGGTCGTCACCGTTTTTGCACAGCGTTCGCTTTCGTTTTTCATCTAGAGATCACTATCTCAGTCCAGTACTCGTTGCCGTCCACGCTCTGCTCCGCTCAGGTGTTCCGACACGTATGTGACGCCGTTGTAAGTATTTACGTGACACACTTTTTGCAACCCATACCCACTTTCGGCGGTAGCAAAAGTAACCAAAGAAACTGCTGAGCAAGCTTCTTGCTAGTAACTCTACTTTGGAATTGATTTTTTACCTCCAACGAAATTCACAATTTCACAGTAGGCCGTAATCAGTAGTACGATGTCCGATGCAATAAAATGTCGTCTTCCTACCGAGAATCTCAGCGTTTCGCTAAGATGACTTGTCGACGCCACCCAATGAAACACAAGCTTGACTGTTTTGGCTTGACCAATTTACTGGTGACGGGCCATTTTTCGCAGCTCTCTTTCACCGCATTTGACACACATATAGTGTGGGACGGTACGCTAGCGTAGACAGTTGAACTAAGAGCGATAGATGCCGGCGATTCAGGCCTCGCGAATGACATATAATCGACGACAGGCATGATTGAATAGAATTATATGAACGAATAGACCCGCATAAGCATATTGCGAGGTGCACGTAGAAACTGCAACAAGAGTATACTGTACCATTGATGGTATACGACTCTGCATTTATCCGTTTGACCGTCTGTTCATATTGTTGCTGCTCCATAGGCAGAAGCAGTAGTGGAGGGCAAAATGTTTGAGATAGAAGAGTAGCAGCTATGCAAGAAACGTCCTACTCGGGAACAGAGAGTTACTTAGACTGAACATAAGGTAACCCCAAGCTTAGGGCTAGAGGCAGACTCAGCACTACCCCTCGTAGTAACGGTAGCTTCTGCAGAGGCAGCTAACGAATACCTACATTCTAGTCTAACTATGCGCTAGGAGCGGCGCGGGAAGATCCTTGCTGCGTCAAGACAGATGGACGGACAGACAAACATGTAGCTCTATTATTAATCAGCGACGTAATTGACGATTACATGAATCCCTCAGAGCAAATGTAAATTAGCATAATGGACAGCAAATTTTATGTGAATGTGCTTTCGAGCACACCTTTACCTTGTTGCTTCGAGGGTCACGAACGAATGAATCCGTAGACGCCTGAGCAGGACGAGTACAAGGTATAAGTGCATTTGTTGTTGTTGTAGGTGTAATCTTTTTCTAAACGGAATAGTGAGAAGGAGAGTCTTAGGAAGAACATACGTTCATTCAGAATACCCCACTATCCATTCACGGAAACACTTTCTTCCCAACCTTATTACTCCACCACGCCTGATATATTATTTGACCATGCTCGCACATACTGCTTACATTTGCGAGAAGCTTGGCGGTTAATGCTATTTAATTTTGATACATATCAGCTCTGCATTTGTCTGATACCATTTGTGTGTCGGTCCGCCGATCAGTTGATTGGTTCACTAATTCGGATGGTATACGGCGTCCACACGCATAGTCCACTAAGGTACAAGAGCACTGATACCTACGGAATGAAATCAGATGTTGGATTTTTGACTTAACAGTATATGAAGGACTAAATAAGAAATTATGGATTCGGTTAATTGTGTGACAAATTTTAATTAATATTATGATTGTTAACACTAGATAGGGCATACGATGTGTGCTTAAGGTAAGCTGCGGGCCCACACAGCCACAAGACGATGTTTTTGTGCTTGCATGTTTATGTAATTGTTACGTAGTGATCACTGCGTTAGCTACTACAGCAGAGGCAATCTTTCAGCGATTCTGGTCAGCCCAGCGCGTCCTAGTCGTAAACTCATAGGAAAGTGCACTCGTGGTTTAGAGTATATGTGATGAGCTTCGAATGAACATTAAGGTGCATCTAAACAACATTTCTTGAGAAGCTGTTCTGCTCTACTTCTTCCCTGTTCTACCTTGAATTTAAGGAACATGCGTAACTAAGAAGTGTCCTAAAACTAATTTTCTCCGACACTGTTGGAGTAATATCGCAGAGCAACATGCGATTCCAGCAGCTAAATTCAGATGAGGCTAAGTCTTATTATTCAAAGATTATTCAAGCCTGTATAAAAAAAAAAAAGTCTTTCGAACAAGAACTAAGGAAGGTCATTTTTTCAGCTTTGCGTCTGCACTGACAGCACACGGGCCCTATGTGTTTCGTTCACGGAATACGGCAGCCACTTTACTACTCAGAGTCAGTACTTGGGAAATTTATGGATATCAATGCACAAAACGGCACAAACTGTACTAGGGTTAAAGAATTTAACCTTGGGCTTTGATGCTTCGCCCGTACTGAGGCTACTACAAACTTAGAACTTTCGCAGGCACTTTCATTCTCAGCAGCGTTGTTTTTTGTTCTTAAAATCATATTATTATTCATTATTTCGCACTGGACTTTCTACAGCAAGAGCGCACAAGGGCAGTATAAAAGCTAGTTGTATTCTGCAACTTCGTTGTTTTTGTGATAGCTTCGTGGGTAACGTATCCGTCTGCTAATCCTAGGGAAACATGGTGGGCTGGGTTCGAGTCCGGTCGCAGGCATACTTCATTTCGTGCCGGAAGCCAGCGGTGGAAGCATTTGCTGCTGGGAGCGTTTTGTTACTCATGCATTGCAAGTTTATAGTACATATTGTGAGTGACTAGGTCGTTGGTCATGCTAGCTCGTAACTAGGGCTTGTGTACCCTAACTGCGTCCAAACTAGTAGCTATGTACTATAGTATAATAATACAACGGGTACTGTAGGTATATCGGGCAGCAGATGTAAGTCTATTATATAGTCTCATATCGAATTTTTGTGATATTCTAGTTAGATTAAGATTAAAGCTAGCGATAATCTAGTCCAAACGTCAAAAAAAACAAGATAAGCAGAATAATTGTTAAAATGAATGAGATCAATTGGAATAATCAGAGACTGTTCGTTGAACCTTTATAACTATCTTAATGGGCAGATACTTTTGAGAGATTTGTCAGATAGGGAGTTTGACATAAACGGTAGCTACATTTACTGCCTATAGTAAGCTATTTCCAACATATTATTGTAGACCTTTTTAGATTCATGAGGTTAGACGGAGAACTCACATCTATCAAACTTATTTGCTCGGAATGCCATCATACAGGATGGAGTTTACGCTTACGGGTCCTGAGGTATCAAGGAGATCTACAGACACCGCTTTAAAAATGCCAGATTTTGTACGCATAGCGTCACTATGTGTAATTTATCGATTCTTAGTGAAAGAGTTATGCCCAGCATCTTGAGCCGAAATAAGCATCTGTGTGCGGACAAAAAACCCTAGTATATCTCGGCCTAAACAATGAAGTGGGAGTTGCCATAATTCATGAATAGAAGACGCCCGGATAGCGTCGTTTCGGCTCAAAGACAAGCATGCTTGCAACGTTAGCTGGGGAACAAGAATATGGTGACTGAAAAGCCCTATAGAATAACGTTACTCGTTTAAAAATATCACCTAAGTGATACGTTGAGGATCTTTTAGTTATGCAATATATTCGAGGCACTGAAGCCGTCTAACAATAGCTTGAATCTAGACTCGCTAGCAAACCTGCTTTTTTGCGAAATAATAGAATAACTATAAGAGGAAAAATGATTCTAACCTGATGGTTAGTCATCGTGTGAGACAAACAATAGCTCCTTTTACTCTACTGATAAAACGGGTCTTTCAGAGAACGACCGTTATCAAAACTATCCGTTACAATAAAATTTGATTTCAAGCTTTACTTACACTAAATTAAAATGTATTACATTAAAAAAAAGCATTAGAAATGCTCAAATTCAACCGCATCGAGTTAAACAATAACTGCATACATGAATGAATATATGGTACGCGTATTTATGCGCTTGTTTTTCAAGCCATGCCATGTCTGATGGTAGGGATCAACATATGAGTCTGTCTTCCACGTTCGCTTTTAGCGAACTCGAACGTAAACTCACCCTCGATGCAGGACGGAACAGATGGAAGAGGCTCACTATCCGCTGTTTTTTTTTTTACATCATATCTAATAAAGGCTTACAGCCTTTGTAGAACTCACAATTGTCTCAAAACAGTCTTGTACTCTTGTCTTCCAGTGCGGACTTTAATTCTCTAGGTGGTGTTACTAGCTTTTTCACGAGGTTTACCGTATAGTCAATGTACTGTTTTCCACATTGCAACGTAATGCTCTGTACATTAGTTTATACAAACCGCTTTTTCTCTCTGTATTCGAGGTAATTTCTTTTTAGACAACACAGAAGTGCTGTACGTTAACCCGTTTGTTTTTCGGGCCCGGGCTTCTTTTTGAAATGCGAATAACACCCAGCTACGCAGCCTCTTAAATGTTCAGGTTGACCTAGGCAAATCAAGCCACCCGAATGTCTAGATAACTTTCTATTTTTGAACGGGTTCTTAATGTCAATTTCTAACTTACTTCGAGTGACTCTTTCTGAACGTCAAGCGAGCCCTAAGCTCACTATCGTGCTGTAAGCCAAGTAGGACAGTGGTACGAAAGCACATAGATATACCACTGTCCAATCCGTCTATCTCGTATATTGAAAGCGCTATGAACAGTGGCTGTGGAACTTGTCATTGTCTGGTCCGACATTGACTTTCTTTTTTTATTTTTCTATGTCGTTCTTTATTATATAAGAAAGTTTACATAACGTATAGAATATTCGTAATGTAAATTTTTTTAATAATCTAAGTCCTTATCCTAGTATAAGGCTAGTGCGAGCCATGTAGCCTTTGCATCCTGCCTGATAAAGCAACATGGCGACTGAGAAGTTGTATTTGTTCAGAAGCTAATGCTTTTGTGATCAGTCTGGACATGTGCACCTATAGGCCACTCACTAGGTATTGAATGGTAGAGGAAGCATTGACGGCCTTTCCAGTTCAATGGCTTTAAGGTCCAATATTTATGCTAATGGATTGGGTTGGCGTTGGTGTCATTTAAAATCAGAGATTTGTAAGATGTGCTAAAGTTCTTTATAGTACTTTTGTTCACACCTATCATAGAGGGCCTGAAGGAAATCTGCTTCCATAAAATCTGCTATATACTGCAATATTATTTAGCTGATTGCAAACGTTCAGGTGTCATAGGAATTGACAAAGAAGAACTTGCTCGATCATATTTGCATCTGTAAAACTTTATAGAAACGCAATGAAATTGATGATCGATGATGAAATTGATCAAATACGAAAAAAGGATTATTATCAAAGGTAGCACAAAAGTAATACCTGGAGTGGCGCCGGGAAAAGTGACTCAATGTACTGCGTGGGACTATAAAGGGATTAGTAGAAGGACTGGGATCCTTACGTTCGAAAACTAACTGAAAACTGGTAATAAGGCTCGTATAAGGCTGAAGGACAAGAAGTGTTTTGCCTTCCATCGTGCCAGCCCACATACATCTTTAGTTACCCGGTCGAAATTGAGGTAACTTGTACGAGCAATTTCAATCCACCCGTTATGTAGCTGCGATCTTGTACCATCAGAGTACCATTTGTTTCGGCATCTGCAGAACTCTCCTAATAATAGATGCAAACATTACTTGTTTCGTCCGGAAGCCCAAGAAGTTTCACAGTAATAGGATCATAATAGCTCATATTTAGTCTAACAGCATGAACTGTAAAACATTATGCTTTAGTACCTTTTCGACCGGTGGATACAAGTATACGATATAGCTTGAACGCTGTATTATTACATTCAGACATCACCACCTGCACTCTTTACATTCAATTAAGAGTTTGTTAGGCAATACTTAATCTTCTATTATATGATATTCATTCTAATTTTAAGACATTGCCTCTGACTGAGAGTTACGCAATAACACAGCGTTCATATTGGTTATGCTGTATCTGCCTCACTCAGTGATAGTCCTACTATCATATATATGCTATTATATATACATGTATCTATAGATATATTTCGAATAACTGTCACCTTTTTTCATTCCAGTTGGACATGTATTTCGGAAGGTTCGGCCAACAAAGAAGCGGCGAAAAACGAGCTATGGGTCACTATTTTCGTCCTTAGGTAAGGCATATATTAAGTAAACCTCGTTTCTGATATCCGCTCTTTGAGAGCTCATGTTGCACCTCAGATATGCACAAACTATATATATGTATCGAGCAACCAAATCTATGATTTTTGCATTATGACCCATTTCTAAAACAAATGCTTGAGTTATCGTTCCGGACGGTCATGTTTACTCAATACAACTTCAAGTCGGGCCTAAACCACTTACTAATAATTTCCAAGAAAATCCTCTTCGTTAATCTGCAGATAACTTTTTAATTATTATTTTGCGTCAATATAACTCAAACATATAATATAAATGCATTGTAAAATATCAATCGAATAAAGTTTGGATTAATATCAAACCAAAGATCCTGAAAATGCAGGGTCTCTAAACGGCCCAAATATCCGAAAGGTGCAAAAAGGCGTAAAAAGTGTAAAAGGGATTCCCTGTTAAAATCTATCCTATTCACCATTGATAACAGACACTCTGCTCTCAGAAAAGACTATTTGTTTTTTAAACAAAAAATTACTTCTTGAGCCTCCTTGATGTATTTTCAAGCTTTTTCAATCTGAACCATACAGGGGACCTTTTAGTTTCGATGATCTCTATAAGGCAGACCGAAAGATTTACAGCAGGCTACAGTTAAGCTTAAATTATTTATAAAAATTAATACCGAATGAACGAAGCTCAACAAACTACTTTTGGTAGGCTTGGATTTCTGACACAGAAATTAGCGGTCGTTTCGAGGAGTAAGATATTGACTATCGACAGAGTCGACCAAAAAAGCTCAAATAGTTCAATACTTCAACGCCTTCCAGGGTGTTTGTCGTCTTTGCCTTTTAAAGTTTTTGGCCCGCAATCGGCCCAAGATTCAATTGCGTTTGATTCTTTTTTTTTTTTTTGTGTATCTGAATACGTATTTGAACTGCACAGCTACTATTAAAAAGTTGATTGCGGATAAGAGGATTGTTTTGAAAATGGCTAGTGAGCGGTTTAGGTCCCAAGTAAAAGCTGTGACTGAGGTGAATCGTGGTTATGTTAGATGAATTTGTACTGAAACACACACACACACACAAAAATGTTGAGATGCCTGTTTTCACTTAGGGACAATCTTGGAAACGTGTCAAAGGAAAAAGCCCTCATTGAGGGTCCGTATCCTGCCGGTGCTTGCCATACCCCCTGCTCAAAAGTATATTACGAACATGATGCCTGAACTAATCTGTCTGGTTTATTTATATATTTGTTTGTGTTTGTATTCACCTCTGTGGAATGTATTTTTCGACCAGTTTTTGTGGTCCGTTAAAATTAGATCAAAGGTGAACGTCATATTAATTTGGGGAATCTGATCTTTTTTTGGCCAGCTGTTGGACAATTTTCTAGGAAAGAGGAAAAGTTTATATCATAAAATTGATTACTTTTTAAGCTGTATGAAATGAGGACAAAAGCTGATTTGGTAAAAAAAAAAGGATAGTTTTTTTCTGTTTTTACCATTTAAGAATAAATCGGCGATCTTAGCTTGAAATCCAGTGCAGCAAAGTATAAAGATCACAAGAACATGGAAACAGGGAAGCGGGAATCACTGTAGTGACAAAGTAAAGATATGAAAACCCGATTATTCCAACAGATTCCACTCCAAGGTAATGGAATAATTGCACGGGTTCCTGACACAAAATAAGGAGCTGAGTGGGTCAAGGAGATATTACCGCAACCAGATATTTTACAACTGAGAAAGGGAATATTGCAACTGGATACCCATAAAGGTACCGTTCCTGCAACCGGAAAACTATATTGGGATAGACATTACATAACTGAAATCTATTAATATCATAATAAACCAGAATAGTGCGATAAATGCAGGCTGGTAACAAAACTGTTAAAGCTTCCAGTGGGAAATGGAGAGATTACGTGTACAATTGATGACTCTTCTTTCTCTCTCTTTCAAAATCTAGTCTCGTCACGCAATGCTCGCTTGGACGATGGCTAAATGCGAATGTATCGTCTGTCTGGAGCTGCAGTCGCCAACCAGCAGCAGTTAGACAAGTCTACCCTCCTAAGGTGCTTACATTAGCTACAGCTTTTTCTTGGAAATCGGGTACCTTCAAAGGGTCAATGAAAGCGCTTGCTTTCTTTGAAACCCCATTCAGTTCGAAACATCGCTGTTCACTAACGGTCCTTTGGTAGCCGCACCGGCGGGAGTATCTATATATATACATATATATATATACAGTCGGTGCTCAATTAGGTAGAGTCAAGTAAACTCAGTGGAATAGTTTCAACTTTCGAAACCCCCTACGCAGCACTAAAGTGAAATATTTTCTTTTAAAAATTTTTCATACATGAAAATAACGTTATTTTGCGCTGTACTAATACGCTATATGTCAATAAAGGAACCTGCCAACATTTTCAGACTTTTAACAAACAGTCTAATATAATCGCGAGTATAAGTACCGCTTCCTGCAACGGTGACTGCCGCCATACTTTGAGATGTGCCTCTGATGCAGTTTTCCATTGCTTCAGCTGCTGCTACTCGATAATGATTTTATTCACAAGCATCTAGAACATTTGTTTACTGTCCTTCCAAAAACCTGTGATTTTTACATGTTTTATGGGATTGAGATCTGCCCAGTTAGCAAGCCACAGAGAGCGAGTAGCCTAGAGGCACTCCGAGCTCTTTGGCAAGGCGTGCCAAAGAACCGTTCCTGCACCTAGAGTGATTTTCGATATCCTTAGCGTATTTCACCCACCCCAGTATTCCTTGTTGGAAATGTGTCATCCTAGTGCTTTAACCAAAGATTGTCAACTACATAATAACCTCCGATGAATGTTTGAACAGATCTGAAGGCGTAATGAGCGTTTTGTTGAGAATTTGAAATTTTATCCAGCTTTCAACGATCCAGTCTTTGACTTGACTTACCTAATGAACACGGGCTCGCGTTCAACCTGGTTTTCTTGATAGGTCTACTAACCATTTTTGAATAAGCGGCGAAGGGTAATCTTGATACGTTGTATCTGCTCTAGAGGATGTTATACAAAAGAAGGCTTTTTTTTTTTGGAGTTCGTAAATAATCAAATCGTTCTTCCACCTTACAGTGTACGTTTTTCGATTCTTGACAACAGTAAAAGCTTTTCCCTCAGCTCTCTAGCAGCGGCGATGAGAAATTTCTGCAACTCTACGCTATGCACTTTTGTTTTGACGAAGCTGTCTGCAAATCAGTGTTGGGCTCCTTCTTCGACGTCTGTTCTTCCTCCCGTTCCACAGCATATTCCATCACGTACGGAAACACAAGGAATCATTAAAAAAGCGGGCAGCATTCGCATTCGATGAGGCGACACACTCCCCGGCGGTACGTAGTACGAGATATCAGCGCGAAGTGTGGACCCGCTGAAATCCAGTTGGTTTGCAATCGCTGAAATACAAGGGGTCTGTTTTGCATAGTAGATCGTCTGCCAGTAGACTCCCGATGTAACGTCGAATAACGCCACAGTCGTGAGCCAAAAATCGTTTATGGATATCTCGTTTTAGCACTGCACGATTGGTTAAATTGATAATATTTGATTGAGTTAACTTGGTGTCGAAAAAATCCTGAGCATTCTAAGGCGAAACGTGTATTGTATTATCTCCGACTTCATTAGCAGATCATAGCGCGTCATGTTGATGAAACAAGTTATGGGTTAATGCCAAAAGGCAATTGTTCGTAGGAGGAAGACCGGCAGTTACATCTGCATCTAATTGCCACATTGGAGAAAGAGACTCGGGGTACTGTTGAGGGAACTCCAATGATTCAGGCATATAGCATAGCATGTTCGAGTCTCAAGTGCCTGCTGATATGGCCATGGAAAGGAATTATTGGTTACGGAACTTGTGGGGGCCGACGTAAGGCTTACGTATGCCAATGTGCAGACACACACGTACTTTAACCGAGTTGATATTTCACGTTTCGGTTTTGAAATGGTTTGACAAGAGCCATGCAAAAGGGCACTGCGGATCTAGAAATGGAAAAATATACAGTTCCGCCACCTTTAACCGAACTGCACAAAGAAAAAATAGGTGCATCTGTAGCTTACTACATGCGTGTCGATATAAAGACTATCAAGCACAGGACAGACCTATTATCTTAGCGTACTAAATGAGCCGTGTGTTTTCATTATTTTAAGGAGGAAGCAGGAGTTACTGATAGCTAACATTAGTAGAGAATGATCTTTTTTCTTTTTAACTATTTTTACTTCCATTGACGTTACTAAGCCCTGCCAACATTGGTTACAAACTGGGAAAATTAAGCCTAGGTGAAAATACGTCGGCAATCTATTAACAAGCTGATATCTCAATACGAACAAAGCAATAAACGTCAATAAAATAAATTATTACTCCAGTTAAAAAGTAGACTTATAGTATACCACGCTTTGGGTCAACTCAGTACATAAAACAACACTCGCATCCATTCGGTCGAAGTTCCGAAAAGTTACTTCTGATTCTTCATCTATGCATCACAATTCGTACACACGAGATGTATGGGCGATGTCGAAGTCGATGTTTTATTGAAACACCCCAGTCACGTGCTAGTATTTGCTTAAAAGAAACAACTATGGCAGACTCTAGCTTTCCTGTGCTATTGAAAATATGCAGACTAGGACAATGTACAGTCTACGTAAAATTACGCTTAGCTCTCGTTGATTTCTGGTCCTTTGGTAAATCATCATGAGAACTTATTCATGAACAAAACCTTTACTGCGTTGCCTGACTAAACAAAATCCTTAAGGAAACGTTTTGCCCGGCTGTCATTAATTGACTACAGACGCTGATCTAATGAATTGTATCGTTTGGTATACACGTTACTTCTGCTCGTTTTGCCGTTTTCTCAATTAGTTTTTGCTATGTATATATCGATCATTTGACGAACTAAAACGTGCTTTATGTTAGAAAATAAGACAATGTCTTCCTTAGAAACATGTTTTTTTTCTCAATGTAGAAGCGATTTCAGGAAGACCCTAATTCAGTTTTTCTAAATCTACATGTTT